AGCGCGTTTTCGATGTTGATTTTAAGGCTGGTTTCTGAGTCAAGAAGAAACTATAAGTTGTTTTTATGTATACCCTCGGAGGTCACGAGTTTGTTAACCTAAGTTTACCTTCTTACATCGGAAAGTTGTTTAACCCAAGTGAAAAGTTGTATTCTATAGTTTAATAGTTGCGGCCATAAAAAAAACTAAACTAAGAGCAGAAGCTGTGTTGGTTGTTTAAAGGGTTTCATGTTTACAGTCATAAGAATTTATTTAAGTACGTGGAAGAAGCTTGGAACCTGTATAGGAACTTATTCAATTTGAAAAAGGAAGTTCCGTGTAAATCACATTTTCAGTTTATCGTTAGATTACCAGAAGTTAAGCGAGGACAGTAATCGCCTTGCGCCTAAAAAGGTTGTACAATGTTTTGTTGCTTATTTTGATCCCAAAGTTAAAAGTTATTTGAGTTGAGGACCTGGAACATGTTGTAAAGTTTCTAAACGACTGCACCTAGGTCACTTGGAGCCTGTTTAGGCCGCAGATTTCCAGAGCTCGTTCCTTAGAACGAAAGGACAAANTGGCATGGAGCGAAGATGGGTCAGAAGAAACCAGCACAAGTACCCTAAGCCAAAGACAACCAGAGAACAGAAGCCCTGCTCAAACGCAAGCGTCAGGAAGTAATTGTAACCATATGTTCAAAAAGCTTGAATGTTCATGCTATGAAAGTGAAGGAGAAAGAAGATGAATCAAAGCCCTGAAAAGAATATACAGGAGGGAACTGAAATGGTCGAAACGTTAAATTAAGAACATGCCATCAAACCTTTTCCTTTTGTAAAGAGGGGAAGCAATTACCAGTTTTGAACTTAAAATGTTGCCATCCCTTGAAAAAAAACAATTGAAACTTGAGGAAATTTGAAGACAAATGTAGTGACCCCATTGTCATGTTGCTGCATTTTATGAATGACTGATCGAGAGCTTTACTTACAATCTATTCAAAAAGTTGGCTTACAAAAATCTGGGGCTCACCTGATCAACAGAAGACTTGGGCCAAGAAAGTAGAACTCGATAGCGGACTCGATCGAGCATATATGCTGCGCGCGCCGGTTTCTATTGCGCCCTCTCGTGACTTCATTTCACCAGTAGACGGCTCGTTCTACCGTTTTGGGAATCTCCTACGTACTGAGGCGTGGCCTTTGTATGCACAATAGTAGTTTAGTATGAATATTCACAATTGACCGTAGGAAGCAAAATGGATGCAAAATAGGCAGCGAGAGCGTTGGAGCGGATTCGCATCAATGGCGTCGGCTTGTTGATTCATCAGTTTTGTTATGGATGCAGTCCACTAATTCAACCGAGAATGGCCAGCTGATTAGCATTGAAAGTGCCCCCACAGTATCTTTTGAAAAAAGAGATTGTATTGCCCCCAAAATGGGGAGATTGTGTGAATCTTTGCCAGAATTAACTCCCTGGGTATTTGGGCTTTCATCTGAGAGCAGAATGGCTGAAAAAATACGGTTGAAAATGGTTCCAAGTGCCCAAGAAAGTTGAGGGTTGTCACTTGAGAAATGGCTGCAATGACACATCGGAAAAATCACTTTTGGAGGAAACTTTGTTTTGTGGGCCGGAATCACTCAAAATGCAATCGGTTTACCCACAGAAAATTGAAAAGAAAATGAAAGATTAGGGACCATAAAATAATTTAACTTGTGTTTCAGAGGCTCAGGGATGTTGGTACGCATGTTATTGGACCCCGAACAATGCTGATTTTACACTGTTTTCAATTGGGCTTGAATTAGTGGACTTCACCCTATATATGAAGTCTCTCACAGGCATACTGCTTCGCTTCTAGTTCCAAAGCATCGACCGCAGCCATTATGTACTTTAGTAGTACGTTTCGCGTCTCGTAGTAGATGAGCATGTGCATTACACATCGTATGGTTTGGAATACCCTGAGGCTCGGACAACGAACTGTTACACAGGTCAATTGTTGCAGGTCATTGATCCACATACATCACATTCAAATACGGCTGAAACTTCCCGGGTGCTGATTGGTTCCTCCGAAAATCTGGAGGAAAACTAAAGAAAAAGTTAAACAGTTTGTAGGGGATTCCTAAGACGGTAGAACGAGCCGTCGATTTGTGAAATGAAGTCACGAGAGGGCGCAATAGAAATCAGCGCGTGTGGCATAATTGTGCTCGATCGATCCGTTGTCGAGGTTCTGCTGTCTTGGCCCAAGACCAGGTCAACAGTGGAAACATAATGACGTTCGTATGGTTTGTTTGCAATACTTATCTATGACCCCTGTTAATTTAGACACAGTATTTATAAATATAGTACTCTGACACAATTCAGATTTGAAAAAGAAAGGTTATTTTCAACAATGAAGTTGCATGCAGTTCCAGAATACTCAAAGTGATTGATACCAAAAACAATTGATAAAGATAAATCAACCATCACAAAACATTTGCTATATTTTATTAGTTCTTTTGTAGTACCTGCCAGTAAATGAATTTTGTAATTCGCCCTACTTTTTTCAAGCTGCCCCGATAATTCAATGTTACATTTCAACAAACCCCGTCCTATTCAGCAATGCTATGTAAAACGCTTGCCTCGCGTTTTGATTCCTATAAGCCAACATGTTGTTACACGTATTAGGCCTAACGGTGTCCTTTTCATACATGTTTGCGGTTGTCTGTGTGGAGTTTATACACGGCTTGAGCTCAAATACAGATTCTGGGCCGCCAATTGAACTCGGTGCAGAATTTAAAGAGGTATTATTTTAGACCTGCACAGTCGTGGCGAATCAAATGCTAGGCCGGGCCCCCTAATAAGAAGTTTTAGATTTGTGTTTACGGCTCCGTATAAAAATGGGACTGTTACAAATCGACGTTTCATCAATAATTCGACACAAGTCGTCGACGTTTAATTACGGGCACAGTGAGCCGCCAATGATGATGATGTTGGAGCATTTAGACTTTCCATGAAATAAGTTTGGAAGCTGAGCTCTACATCTTCTTTGAATTAGCGTATTCATCACGACCATTATATCCGATTAGGGATACAAATCACAAATCCAGCGAGTCCACAAAGGCAACCGGGCTTTTAACAAGTCGGGGGGGGTCTTGGAATACAAATGACTGCAAAAACGTTTATCATAAATTAATGTCATTTATGCAAATGAAGATTTATGACCAAAGTTATCAAGGTTTTACTGAGCATTTTAAAAAAGAAAGTGATGCATGGACCGGAACCCCAAATAGTCTGGCACCACCCCATTTAACATGTTACAGTGAATGGGATAAGATTCTGGGAACTCAATCAAAGCGGCTTCCCTGTTAGTTTACCCCCCCCCAGGAAAAATACATCTGTAATACCTTCCGTCATTTTAATTAGGGTTAACACCCGCAGTACTAGTGGGCCCGTTAAAACGCATATAGCTTGGTTCCCATGCCTGATATTACGTGGTTATGGATCTGTAAGGGCGATGGAAATCAGATTGTACTTGAAAAATGCTTTATACGGTGGCCTATTAGGTTCGAAAATCCTAACTAAATGACGGAAGGTATTACAGTTGGTAAAATTCCCAACAAAAATATGTAAACTGTTTGATCGGTCGAGGACGAGGTTGTTGCACGGCTCGTCGATTTTCAAGTGTGCTAAAAAAATACGAGCAGTTTGGGGTGTATCATGTAAGATGAACTAGTCCCTGTCCGTACTGTACATGGACCGGTAGCTATCTAGCTGCTGTAGATAACGGGTGTGGTCAGCCCTGTCAATTTGGATACTGAAGTTTTAGCGAGGTTAAAGCGAAGTTTTAGCGAAGTTTTTCAGGCCAATAGAAATGCCTTACCACAAAATGCATATGAGCAGAAACGTGGAAAAACGCAAATACCCATCCTTGCTAAAACTCTGTTAATCTAAGTGTGCTAATTTATTTTTCAATGATTATCGTTTAATGAAAATCGTTTTGCGGCACTTTATTTCAAATTAGTTGTTATTGTATTAAATTCTAGATAACTGTGCAATTTATTGTGAAGTTATTTTTGGTAACAAAAAAGAAAAAACTTAATATGCTTCTGCTTGATTGGTGCATGGAGCGAACACCCCTAAATTCCATGCATAACAACGATTAATTTGTAGAACCCCCACTTTCAACATGATTTTTTTCCTGAAATGTATATGTAAAGGCCTTACCTTCAGACTGTAGCCTGTAGTCTGTAATCCTTCCCTTCAATTGAACAGGACTGTTTTTCCACACCGTTATAAAGAAACGAGTGATGCGTCCCATTCAAATTTTGTCAAATTTTGTTTGCTTTGTGCTGGTCACTGTTTCACTTGAATCTGAAGAATTCTTTTTAGAAATTTTGAGGTTGTTTTGGGTAACAATAGTCTAGAGTGTATATAGTCATTGGCGTGGTGGGGGTACCCCTTGGTCTCGACTTGCTGGATATACCCAGGCAAACGTCCCCCACCACAGCCCATGACCAACTGACATGCATCAGTACCCAGGAGGATCTACCGTTCCACCTGACCACACAGCAGGATCCGTCACACTCCAGTACCTCCAACCAGGATATAAGCCCCACTCCCTGTCGGCATCTCTTCAGTCTCCTGACGACGGACAGAGCACACTGTCCGAAACGTTGAGCCTCTCCGGTTCTTATCAGAACCACACAGACTCAAAAAGAGATATTGCATGGAGCTTACCGCAAGCTTCCCATCTTAGTCGTCTGTCACCATGAATAGCTTGAAATCCCATCTACACGTATGTAGTCAAACAGTTCTTCGCGTTCGACCAACTTAGAGCGGGTGGAGCAATTACACTCGGAGTCAGAGTTGAAATTATCAATAAAAATATCCCCGGCTGTTCGTGTTTTCAAAGACTTATCGTGGTCCATCTTCACACAGCTAAGAAACAAAGGACGTGTAGGCCTACGTCATCGCCGCAGGGGCGTTTGTCGAACATCACCCTTGCGCCCCCCCCCCATCACCCAGACCTCGAAGAGGCGGGCGCGCCGTGTTATGTTTGTTCCAAAAAAAAATGGTCATCAGGTCGGTGAGCTAAGCGTGACGCAGTCTTGGATCCAAAACGCCTTTCCCGGTGGTGTCTTCCGATATGCGTGCTAGCCGTGCATGCGATCCATTATGACAGCGCCCTCATTTTATGCGTGGTTGCGACTCTTCTAATGATGGTTCGTGTCGCTCGCATGGTCTGGATAGCAGATCTGTTGCTTCTGACTACTCTGCGATTCAAGTGTCCAGTATACCCAACAAGAAATGAGACCGAGGGGTACCCCCCAACATGTCCAATCCCTATACACATTCAAGGCTATTGTTACTTAACACGTCCCCCCCCCCCAAGATGTCTGAAAGGAATTCCCCAGATTCCTGCGAGACAATGACCAACACAAAGCAGGGGGGTCACGGTTCTCTCCGTCTCATACCTTGCTGCATATGGGGTCTAGTATCACCCACTGTCCACGCGACCAAGACTGAAGTAATTCCTCCATTTTTCCGGAAAATAGCCGAAATAAACCGAAGTCGTTCAGTCTATATTCGGCGCGTTCGGATGGTACCGTTGATGTTCGGTTATTCCCGGCCGAGTACTAGTAGGTAGGGTAGCTGTTGAACTTAAACTCCCGGCCGAATGGCAGCTGTTGATCCTACAATATTTGACTTTACGCTGAAATCGAAAGTCTCCTTGGTAATCTCCCTAGAGAAGAATCTTGGAAGAATCGCTGTAAAAAAAAATCGAAAACACTCGGGCTATCAACTTGTGACCCTGACCCTTGCGTCATATCTATTTATATCCGGGTGTGATACCTGACCTTAGATTTTTTTATCAAGAGTCGTCAGGGAATCTTTGGGCAGGGAACAAGAGTAGGCCTACGTATCGCTGATATTTATTCGTCTTGTAATGGTTTTTGTTGCTTGATCAACTACAGAAAGGTCTTGGAACCAAGACTAAGCAGGAAATTGCGTAGCTAGCTGCAACTTGAACTTGGAAAAATATCCTAGACGATTGACAACCATACCTTCAGAACTGTGGGGTCCGACGTCTGCTCATCTCCCACGAACCCACTGTCCACTTGAAGGAAAACAAGCAACAGCCGCTGGGTGCAGAAAGCCGCTCAAATAGGAACCGTTCAGCGTACAGTCAACTAATTCATGCCCCATTGAAAACAGTGTAAAATCCGATTCAGCACTGTTCAGGGCCCAATAACATGCATACCAACATCCCTGAGATTTCAGAAGCACAAATGAAATTATTGTCTGGTTCCTAATCATTTAATTTCTTTTCAATGTTTTGTGGGTAAACGAATCACATTTTTAATTATCCCCACAAAACAAAATCACCCCCGAAAAGTACTTTTTCCGAAGTCCGATTGCAGGCATTTTTTAAGTGACAACCCTCAACTTTCTCGCGGAATTAGGACCATTTTAGGAAAAGGGACTTTAATTAGTTCAGTGCACCCCTCACCGTTGTTCGTGCGGGCTGGCGCACAGTCTAATTATGAGTCGTTGGGGGCGCACTATGCACGGTGTCCGCTATCAGGTTGGTACCCAACGGCCGTTGCTTGTCTCCTTTCAATTTTGGCATAAAGAGAGGAGCCCTGTGATTGGTCAGTGTGACCCCCCAGCGCGCCGTAGCCAACTGCCATTTCAACCAGCGCGGCTAAGATTGCACACACATGTACGGAAAGTAGCTGTAGCCAATTTTCATCTTTTGTGTATCGATCGCGCGCAGAGGGCAGCCATAGTCAACGATTTGGTCGCGGCTCGCCTTCGCAAGCAGGCTACACATGTGAACCACGCGACTCTCAGACACTGGTCAGGAAATATTTGCACCTTTTCTTGGAAAACGGCATGGTTTTTGGCCGTTTTCTTTCTTGGTACTCAAAACAAAGGTATGTAAGCTATCTTACATAAAACTCTTGGTGGAAATGAAGCAACATTTCTATGGGTACACTACTTGAATGGAATCGCTGTTCGTGCCCTGTTAAACGTCATGCATAGCCTACGTGTATGGCACAAAAAAGGCACTTTTTCATCAGGGTTCGTGGGATCGGGAGCGGACGTCGGACCCCACAGTTCGGGGGAAGGCCTACGACGACCAGGCACTGTCAAAAAACAACAGACAACTCAGTAAAATGTTAACCTGAAAAGTGAAATTGAAATCTTAGAATATTTTTATGCTCGGACTGTACAGTATTCGGTGAGCTCTAGCTAAAACTTCCTGAAGTTTGTTTTTAGGCACCCATGTTTATTTTGAGTGATTTTGTTGCACAGAACTGATGGACTGTACCAAAATATAAAAGGTGACTTTTAATGGCCACCGTAGCGATTCCTCAAGTATCATGTGGAAATTGCTGTTCGACTGACAATGACTGATGATGTCAATGTCAACGATCCAGAGCGGTCATGGTTTCGTCGTGAGTCTAATAAGTTGTTAGAATGGAACGATTCTGTTGTGTTGGCATTACTTTATTCATGGCAGTTTAGTGCCATCAGGTCATATCCATAAGTTGTGACTGCAAAGCATGAGTGTCATTGCGTAACTTTTTTTCCCAATTTCCTTCATCTAGGTGATCTACCGGTAGCCTAACAACATAATGAACGTTAGGATTTAGTTCCAGGCCTACCCCCAGAACTTGCGATGACTGTGATTGTTGTATGGGGTCCTTATTACAGCTCCATAGTCCAACCTAGCTCTAATATTAACGATCCCATCCAAAATCATAAGAGGAATACTAACGATCCACTCAGTAGAGCTAGGTCCGATCAGTACTAGTGCTAGTAGCTACATGTACGTCTGCCCTGCATTCTTAGCCCGAGAACCCGGGGGTCTGACGTCAGCTTCAGTCCCATGAGCAAAGCAGACATTGGACCCCACAGTTCTGGGGGTATCATTCTCTTACTCAGGGCAGACGTCAGATGTGTGCAATTTCAGAAATTTGGGGTTCCAAAAGTGTGACATTTTTGTGTCCCTGTTGTTACATCTGACCATTCCTTCCATGATCTGACCTATCACCTGATCACTGGAATTGATTGCAAACCATTATTACTATTTAATTCATCACTCTTGGAAATTAGAATCAGTTGGGCACAATTGTAGAATACCTCACCACTCACCTTGCCCACCTCATAACTGCGGACACGGAGTCATGCTTCCAGCTTCCACAAGGCCTACTTCATATCCCCGTATCTGTGTAGCTGCTCCTTGGGACCCACATTCGACTTAAAAAATTCTTCCGCCTTTCCAATTCACTTTAGGTTACAGGATGCACAAGGCCCACTTGGTATCCCTGTATCTGCGTAGCTACTCCCTGGGACCCGCATTTGATTTAGAAAT